GAGCATTCTTCCAAAGGGGCCCTTCACACATAGCTTGTCATACATAAATTAAATACAAAATGATGCAGAACCACCATCTATTGCCGTTCATTCCAAACACCCCGCACAACCTGGAAAAAATATAAGAGGACGCAAACTCCGGCGTTTCTTGTTTGCGGCTACTCTGGATATGACTCTGCTTGCAAAAGATTGGCCTATCTGTGCTGAACTGTGAACTTTACTGACTATGAACACTGCTAATTGTAGAAGGTAAAGTTGCTTGATTTTTAATAATGATGGATTTTTAAAGTCTTTGGATTTTTTGCCTGGGGTACCAGTACTGGCCCTTTTTCAGGACTACTGCAATAACAGTTTTAGCTAAGCACAAATCTGGGTTTTTTTTTACGATTTTAAATTAAATGCCAGATTTTTCTTCTCAAAAAAGCTTAGTGCCATTTTTATGTAAACTTGCAAAACATTAATTGATCATTTTTCTGTTGCTAATTACATCAACACTACGGGCAAACCCCGTACCCACAAATTTTCTATCTGCAGCTGGCCCAAAAATGGGTGAATGGCACGCCGTGCTTTTGGCTTTAGCAAAATCCATGTTTGCATCACATGCTTAATTTCAGCAAAAGCTTAATTTAGTCGTCTGTTACTACAAGGCTTGTTAAGTGGTAGCTGTATATATTTACCCCTCCCTGTGCCTTTGACCCCTTTCAAAATGGGGTCCAGAAACAGGTATGAGAACACGAAAATACAAATATTTCAGCTCACATTTACAGATAAGAACTTACCCATTTTTCAGACCCCCTGTTAGGGGACAGGAAGAACAAAATTTGTTTTAAAAAATTGCACCAAAAAAAAATAAAAGTTAAATCTATCTCATAATTGACATCAGTCTTGTATCTCCAAAATTAACACCTTGTTTACTGGTTATCTTATTATTAGCATTAACCATGTAAACGTCAATGGACAGTTCTGGTTGTTCATCCACTTCTGAACTTTGGTCTTGTACCAGAAGTTTAGCATGCACATCCATATTTCAGTTCTGATTTATTTATATGCAGACTGTTGGCTAACTGCCTCTCAGGCAGATACACTCCAACTTCAAAGGAAACACCTCCAATCAGTCGACTTTTACAACATGATTTTAGGGGACAATATCTCCATTCTTTTTTCTCGCTACAATGGGAACCGGAATCCAACACAGGGAGATTACTTTTTTGTTTGTTATTCAAATCTAGAAACCATTAGTTGTTAACCCTTTAGCTCGGTACAGTGGATATCGCAACCCTTCAGCCTTGATTCCATGATAAGGTTAGTTGCATATCCTTTACACGACATTGCAGAACCAACCCTAGCAGTCCCTGGCTGTTGTATAATTTCTCTAGGCAAATTTACGTCGAGAAGTTTGCCATTGCTTTCTGGACAGTCTGCTTCTTGATATCACTGTTGAAACCAACGCAAAGCGCAAGGTCCGCAGCTGGGATCGAGTCCGGCACTACGAAGCGTTCGCATCGACTTAGCCACAGGACCGACGATTGCATGATAGATACCGTAAATCTGGGAGGAATGTGTCTTTTCTGCCTTCCGCCAGTCTTGAACCCAGACAACAAAGAGTTCATCACCCGGTCGCCGCTAGTCCAACTGCTCTAGCAAACTGGGCAGTTCACTTGTTTAGTTAGAACTTGTTGCACCGTTCACAAAAATATATAATTTTAGGGTTTTGTTCAGTATTTTAGTAACCACACAACATCTAGAAACACATCTCAAAGACTTTTTGTTTCTTAAAAGCACGACACAGAAAAAAATTTCGCGCGAGACATTACAAATAATAAATATGCTTGCTCCAGCTTGGAAATAGTCTATGAAATTATCTTCAATGTTGGCTATTCTCTGAATAATGGTCCCAAATTATCGAGGCTAAAAATATACACTAACAGGGCCTCAGTCACATGTAAATTGCAGACTTCCGGCAACAACCGCCACCGCCGAGAGTATTTCCCACGAGCTACGCGCGGAACGGGGCTAAACTAAATAAATTGAAGGAAGCTGCTGCTTGTGAGCCCCAGCCACCTAGTTTAGCCCCGTTCGGCGCTTAGATCGTGGGAGATGCTCTCGGTGGTAGCGGTAGTCGCCAGGAAGTCAGCAATTTAAGTCACATGTGATTAAGGCCCTGTTGACTGTTAGGGTATATTTTCATCCCTGATAATTTGGGACTGTTATTCAGAGGATAGCCTCAATTTTGTTTGTGTTTTGGGGGGGGGGGTGAAAAAAACCCCGTCAAAACAAAACTAAAAACTGCAGGGTTTTTTTAATCAAGAATTGTATGCATTTTAATAACAACATACTAATGAACCACTTGTATAAGTAAATATAATTAATTTTAAGAAAAGAAAAATGCCAACATATATTAGTAGTATTTTTATTATCTTAAGGACAGAGAATTACTAGGCACTAAAACTGGGTCAAACAAACAAATGGACTCGGCCAGGACTGGGGAAATGAAATGATGCCCAAGAGAAACTAAGAAACCCTAAGCCAAAAGTGCCGAGAGGCGAAAGGTGCTGGACTCATTTCATTCTGCTTTTTTTTTACATTACTCACACTTACAGTCTTAGGACTGCACAAGACTGTGATTGATCATTGAACAGAGAGAACGAAGGAAAATCTGTGAGCCCTATCACCTATGTGACACATAAAAGCACAATAGGGTGCTAATGCCACTTCTTTGCATCACCTTCGGGACTGTCAGTCACTCGCAATTGAAAAAAAAAAAATGAAACATCATTGTTTCCAGGATTCGAGTGTCACGGCACATGATGATGATGTCCACATGTTATGCCTATTGATCTATTATTCTCAATTCTACAGGCCCCCTCCAGTTAAGAATATGAAACTCAACAACTCTAAAACGAGCAGCATGGTTCGCTAGTAGAAAACCCAAAGTCCGAGAAATAAATTATAATGCAAGAAGATAAATCATAAATTCTGAAAAGAACTGCTTTAGCACTTTAGCCTTTACTGGAAACGTCCATCTTTCGTCAGTTGAAACCAGTGTGGTGGGTGCCGCCCGACTTTCTCTCGCACGTATTTCATGTTGTCTTGCGTATTAAAATATGAACAATACGTGAAAAACTTACCATATTTGATATCGCACCGAAGCAATCGCCCGTACGGCTCAAAGATCTCCTCCAAATCACGGGTTCGTGTGTTTCTTGACAAGCGGCCAACATATACGGAGGCGTCCCGACGCGACATCTTGGGGGCAATGGCGGATGTGACGTCGCAGGACGTATGGGTAACGTTTGATTCATCATCATCATCGTCGTCATGGTTGTCATCAGCTTCATCATCATTATCATCGCCATTTTCGTCATTCTCATCGTTGTCTTCATCATCATTATTGTCAAGTGCCCTGTCGACTGCTTTAGGCAACCATGGTTCTTCACATCGTACGATTTGTCAGTATATCCATAACCTATAGTTTTGAACACATGATTATCAGCTTATGGGCTACAACGTATTAGAAAGAGAAAGAAGAACCGCACCCATCCCCCCTCACACACACACACTTCGCGATGAGGTAACTATTTTAGGAGGAGGAACAGCAGCAGAAGTAGTAGTGGTGGTAGTAATAGTAAAGGTGGTGGTGGTAGTTGTATTAGTAGTAGCAGCAGTAGTAGCAGTAGTTTGTTGTTCGTCCATCACGAGTGATAAAGACTAATTTTCATCTAAAGTAGTAATGATCAATGATTATGAGTGCGAAGGTGGCTGATTAGTCCAATATGAGACTGGAAGGTTTTTGAGCAGTGCAGACAACAGGTGGAAGCCGCATTAAGTGTGGGATTAGCAGTACGATTCTTTCTAGTCTGTCTCCGTTTCTCTGCCCGTGCAACCTCCGCTGCCTGGCAGCGCTGATGCACTGTGCCTGGGGGATGATCGCCATCCAGAACGGTCTTGTGCAACGGCCTCCCACGTCACTAGTTGATGCCAAAAGAAATGAGTGCAGTTTTGAAAGTGTCTTTGTAGCGCTTTTTTTCTGTCCTCCCTCGGAACTCTGCCCTTGCTAGAGCTCCTTATAAACTACCTTCTTTGGGAGGCGATAGTCTGGCATGCGTGCTAGGTGACCAGCCCAACGCAGCTAATAATTCTTCAGTATCGTGTGGATGCTAGGCAGGTTTGCCCTATCAAGAACCACAGCATTTAGGATCTTATCTTGCTATTTGATTTTGAGCAGCTTTCTGAGTCACGTTATACATGAAACTGATTCAACATTTGAGCATGGCGCTGATAAACAGTAAACGTTTCGCAAGCGTAGGGCAGTATTTGAAGAATTACTGCTTTGTAAACCTTTAGCTTAGTTATGGATAACTAGGTTCAGGATGTTACTAAAGTGTTTAGCCCAGCATTTGATGATTGCATCGTTATCAGTCAGTAGAGAAGCACTGTAATAAGACCTGTTTGTTGACATTCATAGACCAGGAAAAGGCCTTCAATAGAATCAACAGGAATATGTTTTGGGGTTGTATGGAAGGGGGGGGGGAGGCGGACGGGAATCAGCAATCATCTCATTAATATTTGCAAAAGCCCGTACACACGTAGGAAATGCTGCATAAGATCGAAGGCAGGATTATCAAGAACTTTTATAGTGAGCTCTGGTGTGCGTCAGGGCTGTGTACTATCGCCACTTCTTTTTATAACATACATAAATACTATATGTAAGGAAACGAACTTTAATCAGGAAGAAGATATTACAGAATTACTATTCGCCGACTATCAGCGAGCCACACTAAAACTTTACAACGTGTATAGAGCGAGTGGAAGACCTCGGAAAATATGCAGTGACGGCATTAAGAACAGCCTTACAGAAATGAACATCAGTCTTAATAGTGCTCTTGACAGAGCTCATCAACGAACGTTACATCTCCTCCCAACACTTCACAGAGGTACAAGGTGGAAGAGAAGAAGAAGCAGAAGAAAAAGAAAAAGAAGAAAAAGAAGAAGAAGAAGAAAAAAAAAGAAGAAGAAGAAGAAGAAGAAGAAGAAGAAGAAGAAGAAGAAGAAGAAGAAGAAGAAGAAGAAGAAGAAGAAGAAGAAGGAGAAGGAGAAGGAGAAGGAGAAGAAGAAGAAGAAGAAGAAAGAAGAAGAAGAAGAAGAAGAAGAAGAAGAAGAAGAAGAGAAGAAGAAGAAGAAGAAGAAGAAGAAGAAGAAGAAAGAAGAAGAAGGAGAAAGGAGAAGAAGAAGAAGAAGGGAGAAGGAGGAGAAAAAGAAGAAAAGAAGAAGAAGAAGAAGAAGAAGAAGAAGAAGAAGAAGAAGAAGAAGAAGAAGAAGAAGAAGAAGAGAGAAGAAGAAAAAGAAGAAGAGAAGAAGAAGAAGAAGAAGAAGAAAAGAAGAAGAAGAAGAAGAAGAAGAAGAAGAAGAAGAAGAAGAAGTATAGCTCCATCCTTGCCGAGAAGGGGGACAGGATGATGGTGGCATTGGTCCATATACAGTTTTTAAAGCATCATTGAAATAGTTATCATACCCATCTTCAGAACGCTGAATCTCATCAGCTTTTTTGCTTAGCCAGAAATCTCGCATCTGTCGAAGTTTGGTCCCAACAGTTCTTCTAATGTTACTGAAGGAATCCTTCTTTGATATTGAATCTGGATCACTTAACAAAGCTTTAAGGAGACGAGGTTTCTCCATTAGTAGATGCTTAATATCTTCTGAGTTCTTGTCAAAGCAGTCCTAGTGTTTTCCTGTAACCCACCCGAATGTCTCTAAAGCTGTGCTGTAGATATGATCTCTTAGGGTGGTTCATGTATCCTCCATGTTTGAGTCGTCTAAGGAGATGGATTGTAGACGACCTTCTAGCGTAGATAGAAAGTAATCTTTAGGATTTATTTCTCAACCTGGAGATGTCGAGCTTTTCGTAAGTTTTGCTTCCCTGCAGTCGTCTTGGTGGTTGAATGCGGAGGTTCATTCAAGAGAGCAGTGTCAATGAGATGCGTAGCTATCTAAGCTTCAACGTGTCTTAACTCAAGGGCTCCCCCTCCCCCAGGGATCACCTCTGTCTCCCCTTATCGTTGGCGTGTACACATCAGTAATCACATGTGCACGGATAGAACAGGTAGAACAATGTCGTTCGCAGACGATATCCTTTCGTAACGACAAGGAAGAAACAGCCATGACATTACAACGTTACAACAGGAATTAGACAGTCTCTGTGAGTGGTACCAGGAATCAAGAACACAGGTAAACCCGGTAAAGGCTTCCTTAACATGGCTCTCCTTGAATACCCACAGTATCAATTAGGGCTGTACCGAATAGTGATTTTCACTATTCGGCCAGATACGAATAGCGGGACCAACTATTCAGCTGAATAAGAATACGAATAGTGTTTATTCATCATCAGGTGCCTTGCCGACTGGTGTGGGCGAATATGCCTCGCCACAATCTGCGATCTCCTGCAGTATGTATTAGTTCGTGTGCTGACACACCTCCGTGCCATACAACAAGACTGTTTAGAATCTTCTCTCATAGTCTTCCTCTATCCCTCCTTCCACAGATCTTTCCAGTGGTCACCACATGTTCCATTTTCCCTCTTCTCATAACATGGTCGAAAAATGATGACTGTCTCCTTCTGATGTCTGTGATCAGTTGTCTTCGGGCTCCCGCCTCTTTCAAAAACCTCTTGGTTGCTTTTTTTTTTTGGGTGCTGTATAGGGATATTTTTAGCATTGTTCTGTAAAACCACATCTCTGAGGCCTCAAGAAATTGTTTGGTCTGCCTACCGAGTTATTTCAGTCCATCGCAGTGTGTGCAAAAGGGTCTGGGGTAACTACTATTCGTATTCGACCCGACCGCAAGTATTCGGCCGAATACCGAATAGTTATTAGGTCCACTATTCGGCTCTGAAGCGAATACGAAGCGAATATTTGGTACAGCCCTAGTATCAATAAACCTATGCCAATCGTAAGCATGAGCGTTATAGACATTGATAGAATAAGCATATCGAAATACGCTGGCGTGACTTGACAGATAGTTGTTACACGGGTACAAGCATCACGTAGACAATGTACTATAACATTGTTATAGTTAGAGCCTAAAAGGGTCCCGCGGTACTGAAGGCAATGACATACGCCGACATTAAACAACGCCTACTTTTCCTTCAATTTCAGGGACTTGTCTTAAGTGTTTTGGACTCTGGGTCTCCTCGCTGCCAACAGAGTTCAGCTATAAAGACTGGATATAGTGTAAAATGAGGCCATGACTAACATTCAGCTGCACAAAAGACACCTCATGCCACGCCATGCAGTATGCTCCAGGTTCACAGACGATGGCCACCAGAGATAAAGTATGTCAGGTGAAGGCGTACAGAATGGTATCAGCAGACGTCAGCCACCCCCTGCACGACGCTATCAATTATATGAAAGGGATGCGGCTCAAAAGAGGCTTTTCCTGGATGGCCGAGGCTGAAAATCGAATCCATCTAGTGTGTGACCTAGACGAGATCAGTCACGGAAAAGAATAGAAGCATACACCAGTAGACACACATGCCCTGTCTAAGGTTGTCACAACAATGGCGAGGTACTGCACGAATCACGTGCTCCTGTTGACGCTGTGATAAAGAAACTGACTGATCAGCATTCACCCCAATGAGATTTCATCATGTGGTGAAATTTACGCAAATCTCCCCAAATAGAGTAACTCACTTTTCATTCACAAGTTTCTCCCCCCTGTGAGTTCCAGGGCCCTATTATAGGGAAAACAAGAATAGACCACATGCCTACTTAAAGGCATGTCGTAAGAGTCGACTAACTGGGAGCTTCCTTCAAAGTCGGAGTGCATCTGCCTGACTGGCAAGGAACCAGCAGTCTGCATAAAATAGTCAGATTTGTAAAACGGATGTACACGCAACACTCAGATTCTGGAACAGCAGACCAAACGTGGATAACCAACCAGAACTCCCCGCCAGAGTTTACAGCTGGCGAACACGAAGAAGAAGAAGAAAGTCAGAAGTTTGTTGTGCTGGTCGACTTTCCTGAAGGTTACTGGTGTGTCCCGCTCTATTGTTTGCTTTCTGACCCACATGCCAATATGTCCAGTCCTTGTCCCTAATCCTTTACCAAGTCCAACATTCAATCGCACCCGTATTCAGACGTCAACACTCAGATCATTCACATACAAGCACGTCTTGCATTTAAGTTTTCATTCCGAGAAAGGGAATGCCTGTTACATAGGTTGCAGCCCTCTCTACGGTGGATGTGTTAGGG